TCAGCAGCTGCTGAAATAAGAAGGTAAATGGCTCCTACGCGGACTTTGCCTTTGCAATTTTCCCAGGAGCTGAGCTAGCAAGCACCTGGAGGTTCGTCTTGTGTATTTAGTTTCACAAGTGGTCTCCCCTTCAGCAGCAAGAAACAGGATTGCTTGAGCACCCATCACATTTTTAAATGTACAGCAGAGAAGCAATCCTAGAATTTATCTTCATCTTTGCAAATCTGTGGCTCTTTGAAAAGCTTGCAGACGCATGCATGAAACTAAGTGCTACGGCACTAGGAACCATAAGGATAACAAGACACAGAAAATGAAAGTCTTGCAAACCAAGACAGAGCTGCTACGGGATGAGAGATGACAGTCACAGTGCTGCTTGTTGAAACAGGATGGGGAAATACCTGCATATGGCGCCAATTTATTCACAACTTCTATTCGGTCAATGTAGATCATAACACCACCACTGTAAGTGAAAAAGACAATTAATGAATTATTACTGCAACTGTTAACAGAGGTCCATATTTAAAGCAAAGTGGTCTTTACCCCTCTTTTACTAAATTCCACTAAACTTACCCAGAACAACTCTGACTTCTTGAGCATTTTGCAATTAGATGGCAGCAAACCTCAGCTTTGTACAGACTGGTCCCTCTCTCTGCCTAAATCAAAAGCGTGCTCCAGCAAGTCTGCAAAGCACTTTCGCTTCACTTTGTTATCTCCCACTTAGCCAGTAAAAGAAAAACATTTTTGAACAGGAATGTAGCTGCAACTATCAGAAAGTGGGAGCCCAGCACAATGAAGGGAAGGCATCAATGACAGCAGATGACACCTGCAAGTGGCAGAGCGGACCCAAACTGCAGAGGCACTGCAGCTCTTCTAGGCAGTGAAGACGTTTTAAATAATAAAAAAACCCAAACCCTTAGTTTAAGTTCATGCATTTACTAACTCCAGCAGGAACTTGACGAGGCCCCTATTAGAAAGAAAGAAAAAAAGCACATAACGGATTTTAATTCATGTTCCCTGCTTCAGTGTCACGGTGGAAACGGCTCTCCAGTAACACCGCAACCGTGCACATGCTGTCAAGAAGCTCCAGACATCTCATCGGAAGAAGCCTGCAGGCAGTCCCTTCCCCAAAGGATCACGTGTTGCTGGACCAGCAGAGAAAAGATGGAACCAGAGGTAGGGCTCGATACCAACCTCTGCTCTTACTGACGTGGCTTTCAGCAGGTCATGCCCACCCCTGGGTACCTGTGACACTGCACAGCAGCACACACTCTACAGTGAAGAAAAAAACCCCTGAATTTTCAACGGCTCCTAAGTCTCTCGAGAGTGTAATTTTAAAGAATGATACTCGCAATTTTGTCCTCAGGGCAAAGGTAAATCATAAACAAGAAGCTTTAGCAGAAACTGTTTAGAGACAGTTGATGCCCAGAAGTGGACCTCCTACATTTCCAAACTTGGTCTCTCTAGTGTTTTAATGCAAACATATCCCCCATGACAAACTCAGTTTCATATTTTGTAGATCTTAATCTCTAGCAGTTGAAAGCGAAGTCTGCAGAAAAATCACCTGAACTTGCCTGTGTCTGTGCTCTTTTAGAAAAGGTCTCCCAGGCACAGCTGGCATTTGCTCTGCAAACCTGCCTGCTTCATGTCAAGCTACGAGCTAAAAATGGTGGCGACGGACTGAACTTGTCTGCTGGAAGGGACAAGCCAGCAGAAAAGATATTTGTGGCTAAAGTGAGACTTATTTCCCAGTGAGATACTACTACTACAAGTATTAATTTCTTTTTCACTCAACATTTCTCTTTAGGCCATGGTCATTCTTGCTGGCTCTCTCTTAAGAACTGTTGCTCTTATTTTTAAGTAAGACCAGCTTATGGATCTTTTATAGTGATGTCAGGCTGTACAAGCAGTTATAATGGTACGGTATATGTATTTTTCTCCATCTCATCTGTTCTGCACTCTGTCCCACCACATCCAATAAAATGACTATTTATCATTCCAAGTGACGTCCAACAGCATTCCTCGGGATCTTCTGAACGCGCTCTTCATCCTCCTGATTTGTTTCAGTAACCTTATGACATCTCCACCAGGACAGGGAAACCCAGCTACCATTGTGGGGTATCTTCTAGATATCCTGGTGAGGAACCAAAGCAGAACGTGTGGGCTTCTTCCACCAGAGTCTCCTCTACTGCACATCTTTATGTTGGGGTCCTTTTGGCATTTCAATTTTATGGGGACGTTAGAAGGAAAAAGAGAGCACCTGAGACAATCTGCCTCCTACGCAGGACTCATCCACAGCCCCTCATCACCTCACACGCAAGAAAGACTGGCACCTCAGACCAGAGAGGACTGACTGCTGCCCGTCTGACTCAACCAACACCACCTACAGCAACCCTGCCAAGGATCTCAATCAGCGTGGGTCAACACAGTGGGGCACAAGCGAACTGTAATAGGCTTATTTCCCCATAGAGGGCTTAAGGTTAAATGAAGCCTAAAAAAGCACTTACACTGTGTTCATCATCCATCCACCCAGCTGCCGGAGCCATCATCATTTCACACTGTGCCGTGGGGATGGCCCTCTGGACCTTGCTGCTGTAAATCCAGGATCCAAACCGAACTGTAACACTCCAATCTTAATGTGAGCATCTCAGACAAGACCTCCTCTCAAACAGCCTGGTCCAGAAGATGTTAGTAAACTCCTGGGCTGCAGGAGACACTGTCCTGGGCAGTTTCAGGACAGCTGATCTGACAGAGCATCATGCACTGATTTGGGGCGATTCACACACCTTGCTGACCTCAAACTGAACAAATCCTCTCATCATTCACAGCTGTTTTACTTTCCCTTTGGCATCTACAGCTTAAATGCTGGCTCAGACGGTGCTCTTTCCATTTTGACATGCCACTACCATTCTCAAAACATCGTTGTTTCTCAAAGCCTGCTTCTTGCCAGATGCAAGGCAGAGTGACTCCCACAGGGAGATTTCCAGTGCTTGCAACTCTCCACTAAAGTTTCTGCAGCCTATGTGCATCTGGGAGAAGTTTAAGCATAATTAGGCAGCAATAGTCCCTAACTTTACAGGACGAGGTGAAAGTGTACAGGGAATGCTACAGGAGACTAACATACACTATCAGGCATCTCAGTAGACTTTAGAAAGCCTCATAGACATCAGGATTTTAGCTTAGGCCAGGCGAAGACAAAGGAAAAAGTCAAGGACACTGCCATAAAAGAGAGGCCGCAAAAAAAGGTGAAGGTTTAATGCTTATTGCTAGAGCTGACCGCAAACAAGACCAGAGCAGGTTAGGCAATCAGAGCATGTAAAAATTGGGCTTAAAAGTCAGATCTGGTCTGTCTAGAGATACAGGGATTAATGCAATACATCCACTTGCAATATTCAAGACACATTTTTTCCATGTGGCTGGCTAACAAACAGGGATCTGTCCCAGAGCAGCATTCCTCCAGTGCTCCATCTGCCAAAGATCTGCAGCAGCACAAGCAAAGGACAACTCTTGCACGTTTGGAAATAAACACCTAATGCTTGAGCAATATTATTGCTTAGTGTTCTAGCTATTTACTGTTTCTTGGCATTGAAAAAACCTGTACAATATTTAGCAATAATCTTTCCAGTTAAGTTTATAAGAAAAATGCTACTTACCTAATTCTCTCATGCAATATTTGCACGACACCACTTTCAACTCATTTATTGTATTCCACAGTTAATATACTTGTGAGTATATTAATTCTCGATTAATTCTTCCAGTTAGTCCTTTGGAATACTTTGCTCTTTTAAAACTGGTTTATTGAACTGATTTTTCCATCAGTTTTTCGAGATGAGCAGACCTGCAGTGAGGGAACTGCTGAACTTTCCAAGGAACTGTGCTCTTGTTTTTTTGTTAGGGAAAGTCAGAAATCTCAGACACCAGAGGCAATTCACAGCTTAGAGCAGATACATCTTCTACCTGCTGTAATGAAATGGTTTTCATCTCTGAGGCGACAGCTGTTTTATGAAAAACAGTCATCTGGTGCCAAAGTATTTTAAAATCTGTATTTAGTGTATTCACTTAATGCTGTGAAGTATCAATGGGACAAGGTAAGGCAGAAATTGGAGATGGGACAGCCATTCAGAAGCTTCCCGATATAGATGAGGATACAGAGAACAGGAATATGAATATGGTGGTCCTCTATGGAAACCCAGTCTTTAAAATCTGATGGTTTAATATACAACTACAGAAATTTAAACTCTGGAGGATCCATTCTTGTAATGAACTTTGAACCGGGATAATGAAATTTCAGATTTGATCCATTTGTCATTTAAAAGCTAATGTTTATTACGGAACTGTGGATTCAAAATTTGGCATGGAGCAGCTGCAAACTTAAGATTCTAAATGCAGCAAATTCAAAAGAACCTGCACTAACACCTTAAAAATGGACAGGGCTACTGGGACCTTTGGTCTGAAGTGTGTTCAATTATTAACTAAGAACTGCTTCACCAGCTGTTTGGTGTTTCAAAGTATGTTTATTACCTATAACTTCATGACACCTGTACTGCACAACTGAATCCCACAATGCTGAAACGTAACAGGAACTTAATAAACTAACTATACAGAATTAAACAGAATATTTACCTCCTAAATCACAGAGGCACAGAATGGTTGAAGGCTGGCAGGGACCTCTGGAGATCACCTTGTCCAACATCCTTGCTCAAGCAGGGTCAAAGCAGCACAGTTTAATTTCAACTGTGTTAGCAAGTTAACATGGTTAAGCTTCAGCAGAAAGCTTTGCTTGGTCTGTTGAGAAGGCTTGCAGGACATCAGGACACCATCCCTGGCCCAGAGATGTGATGCTGCTTTACAACGCCCAGCAGGTGAAGTATTACTCCTATTTATGCTACTTACGAGCTAAAAGTTGCCGCTAAACGCATTGCTAAAACTCTGCTCTGACGACTTCTTTTTAACTGTGCCATTCAAAAAGATACAGATATAGAACATAATGAGCCTTACTCCTCCTTCCTGCAATTACTTTTCACTTGACCTAAAGACTCTTTACCTGACCACAAAGTCCTGGCTGCAGCACTGAACACTAGCATTATTTACAGATACTCTGAAAGACGTTTGAGATATAAAACTAAAACCAGCTAGGGCCCTCAAGAACTTTGTTAACATTTAAGCCCAAGTGATGTCTGACGCTATAGGAATAATTCCAAGATCTCATTTCAAAAAGGGCGAAAGCAGACCAAAATTAACTGTACTTTATTAATGTTGCCACTAACATTCAACTTTTAATTTCAACACGGTCATGGTGTGTCATCATTCAAGTCGTACTCACTTTTTTTTAAAAAACAGAAATATCGTTGAGTACCCTAAAGCTAAAAGATGAGAATCACCAGTTTTGTTTTTATCCTGAAGAAACAGATTCGATCATCACTAACTTGTGAATGAACCCACACAAAAGGATCTGCAACCCAACTCATCTAGCTCTCTCCTTCTGTTACCGCCCTGCTTGTTAAAACTATACAGATCTGTGCTGACAAAAGGATCAGCTTAATTACAAAGCAGGCATGTGCCACCCATGCATAGGATTCTTCTTTATTCTTTCTCACTCTCCCTTTACATCAGGTGAAATGTCAATTCCAAAAATGCCCAAACAATTCCAGGAGACTCATTTTCTTGATCTGTTTTTGAAATGAAGCATCTCCCATCAGGACGATTCTTGTTCACCATTTACTTTTGCCCACTGCTGGGCTCAGCACTTGTATTAGCCGCAAGATTCAGACTAGAAATACTGCAAAGCAGAGGGCAGACCAAAGTACAAGCAACAGGCTATCAGAGTAATTGAGCGAAGCAACCAAGAAAAATCAAAAGAACATCACTATAAATGCAAATACCCTCTGAACATCAATTCTGGCAAAAGCAAGAGCACTCCCTCCCATGCCTCCTGTTCTATTATTTCCAACTATGATGTACGTGTGCATTTTTGGGACTAATTTTAGGGTATGTGCCTTTACTTTTCAGGCTCTGTGTCACAGCACTGTAAACGACTAGCTGCAAACTACACAACAGAGTGCATCTGCTCATCACCAGGAGAAATACAAAGGAAAAACATACCTTGTCCCACAAGGCACATTTTTCACTTCATCAGTCTGCAACGTGGTCTGAAATAAAAAAACAAACAAACAACAGTGCTCACAAAACCTCTCCATTCTCCAGGAAGATAATGCTGTGCCCAGACTCTCACAACCACTACACAGGAACATGGAGCCAAAAATGTGTCCTCTGCCTCCCTCCCGACTTCCACAGGTGTGGGCAGAAGACAGACTCCTTTTCAACTTCCCTTTTGGGAGACAGAAAGGCAGCTGTGCTCATTTCCCTAACTCTCAGCTCCTGCGGCACTGAGGCCTGCAGCTCTCCTAGGAAACAATTAGGGCCACAAACACAGACTGTCCTCCCACAGCAGGACATCTCTTGTCCCAAGCAACACACAGGCATGTTGTGGAGATTCCACCAAAAGTCCTAGCACACAGCTGGGTCTGGTACCTAAGGCAGAAGGAACCAAAGGCTTCCTAGGAGCTGCTGCTCTGACTACCACATTACTGAGCCCCTCCGCAACCACCAGTTGTCGACGTCACCCCCATCCAGCAATATCCCTACCGCTATCTGCTCTCACTCGCTCTCTTCCAAGATGAGGAGATACAAACCTGCACAGATTTGAACGTAGTAATGAACGGGAACATGATGTGGTAGCCTGGTCCACTTGGACTAGTTAACAACGCACCACCCCTACAAAGAGAGAAGAAAATGGGCAAAAGGCGCAAGCAACTGGAAAACAGTTAAGTGCTGGCTTTGAGAACAAGCAAGTACATTCAAACTGCCAGGGGTCACAGCTGTGGTAGTGCAAATTACATTACTCACCTGCACCAAATTTGCCACCAATTCACCTACAAAAGGGCTGACTGCCTATGGTTCTTGCCTGCTGCAACTCCACAACCATTTACTTCAGTCCTGTGAGCAATTAACTTTTAGAGAAGGCAGATATTGCTAAACACTTCCATTGTCACGACATTGCAGAGAGCTTCAAGACATAGATTTTCCTCTCTAAATAGTTCACTGGTAGCCATAGAAAAATCCAGCAGTTGATGCTATACTGCCAGTTTGGATTTCCACAAGGCATTTGGCACAGTGTCTTGCCCAAAGCACAAAGACAACGTGCAGTCTCTTGTGGGGGCTGGCAGGTGGTTAAAAGCAGACAGAGGAGAGCTCTAAGCAATCGATACTTGTAGTGCAGCAAAGTCTTCTGCAGCAGGCTGCAAGGGCCCATGCTGCTCAACACACCTGTAATTAAGGAAAGAGCCACGCAAAACAAACTGGCCTATGGTGGTGAATGCAAAGGGTAGAAAAGACAGGGTAGAAATATGACAGAAATACCAAAAAATGCAGAAAGGCGGGTGCTGAATTTCTCCGCTCCTTTATTCAAATTTGAAGCAAATCTAGTCAGGACATGGCTTTAAGTGACTATGACTGCTCATTGCTGTGGACAAACAATGAGCTGCTCTACAGATGCTATTCAGGGCAACTATGAGCCCCAGGTGAAACTCAGCCTAGATCCAGGGAGAAGATCCATTTCAAAATGACAGCAGAGCAAGTAGGTTCAAGAAGACCAAGTGCCGGGTCCTGCACTTGGGTCACAACAACCCCATGCAACGCTACAGCCGTGGAGACAAGTGGCTGGAAAGCTGCCTGGCGGAGAAAGACCTGGGGGTGTTGGTCAACAGCCGGCTGAACATGACCAGCAGTGTGCCCAGGGAGCCAAGAACGCCAGTGGCACCCTCCTGGCTTGTATCAGGAATAGTGTGGCCAGCAGGACCAGGGCAGTGATCATCCCTTTGTACTCCGCACTGGTGAGGCCGCACCTCGAATACTGTGTCCAGTTTTGGGCCCCTCACTACAAGAAGGACATGGAGCTGCTGGAATGAGTCCAGAGAAGGGCAACAAAGCTGCTAGAGGGCCTGGAGAAAAAGCCTTATGAGGAGCAGCTGAGGGAGCTGGGGTTGTTCAGCCTGGAGAAGAGGAGGCTGAGGGGAGACCAACGACCTGCAAGGAGGGTGTAGCCAGGTGGGGATTGGGCTCTTCTCCCCGGTAATTAGCGACAGGACAAGAGGAAACGGTCTCAAGTTGCACCAGGGGAGGTTCAGGCTGGACATTAGAAAGAACTTCTTCACTGTAAGCTGTTAAGCATTGGAATGGGCTCGCCAGGGAGGTGGGGGAGGCACCATCCCTGGAGGCGTTCAAAAAACGTTTAGATGTGGCACTTTGAGACATGGTTTAGTGGGCATAGTGGTGTTGGGTAGAAGGTTGGACTTGATAATCCTTGAGGTCTCTTCCAACCATAACTGGGAGAAGTGGTACTGTGGTTTTGCTTAAGCCTAAGCAGACAGACAGTCGGAAAGAATGTAAGTTTCCAGGTACCCAAGTATGGGGACGGAGACAGGGTAATGTGTATTCGGGTATAGGGGCACGTTGCTTGCTTTGGCTGACACCACTTATCTTAGCCATAATTAGTCTCTACCTGGTTGTCACCTTCCTGCCTTTATATGGCAGAAAGAGAGGAATAACTTGGGTTTGCAATATAACTGAAACATATAAACAAGTGCAGTCGCTGGAATAAGGAGTTCAACCAAGAGGAAGACTTTGAGCCTTCACCCCACGACCCTCAAAGAAGACCTCTACAGAACAGTGCGCAGATGCAAGTGGGAGGGTATAAACGTAAATAACTTGGGGGAAATCATTTGAATATGTATAAGACTTCTGAGAAATGGCACGAATACGAATGACTGTCCTAAATGAATATGTGGAAGCGAGGCTAACCAGTGTGCATGCAGGAGGATCACAGAGGTGATCTCCCATGCACCCAGTGCTGAAATAAAGCTTTGCTTCACAGACTTTGTCCTCTCTTAAAAAACTACATAGGTGAACGTTTCTCACAATAACGATTCCATGATTCTAAGTAGTCTGGCTGGCTGACAGTCTTGGGACAGAGGTGACAACCCTCGATGTAAAAGGGAGAGATCAACCGACATGAAAAGACTGGATGGACCAAGAGCTTAAGTCCTCTAAGCTTTGAAATCTAAACTGTGACCCAGAAAAGATGAGGGAGGAAAAGTAGCTGAGAATTCAGAAAGACCAAAACTCGTCACAGTCCTGCACAGAGCCAGGCTACCCAGGCCCATGTTGTTTCTGGTGCAAGAGAGCAGAAACAACACGGTCTGCCCACTTCGGGGCAAAACCTGGAGGGAAACCCAGGAGAGAGCAATCACCCCCCGAGGTGATCTGGGGCCAGGGATGAATCCCAGCTGAGAGACACAAACTTAGGGAAGGCTACAGAAACTGTCAAGCCTCTGGCAGGAAACAGTACCTGTAATACACAGCCAGGTGCCCCTCCTCAACTTTGTGGATGGAGGAGTACAGGAAGAAGACGAGGAGTCCTGTGGCAGCGGCAACTACAGCTCCAGCCTGGGCCATGGTCATCCTCGCATCACCTGTGGGACACAGGCCGTTACCACCCGGAGCACCGTGCCGCCCGGAGGACGGGGCCCCGTTTCTCCACCCTCTGCACGAAGATCTCCGCTCGCTCTCCTCTCTCCCGGTGCCTCTGCTCCTTTTTTTTCAACAAAATCCTGTCAGAATTTGGACCAAAAAGCCAGGGAATACCCTCAGAGC